CCGCCTCCGCCTCCCAAGTAGCCGGGACTACAGGCGTACACCACCATGCCTGGGTAATTTTTTTTTATTTTTTGTAGAGATGAGGTCTCGCTATGTTGTCCAGGCTGGTCTCAAACTCCTGAACTCAAGAGAACTTCCTACCTCAGCCTCCCAGAGCGCTGGGATTACAGGCACGAGTTGCCGCACCCGGCCCCTACTTTTCCACTTTCTAGTAAATATCCCTGATCTCCCCTTCTTTTCACCCTCTTCCCAGCCTGTTTTTGTCCAATGAACTCTTTACATTTTTAATTTGTTTATTATTAATTCATTTATTTGTTAGTAAGTATATAGACTTGTAGGGTACGAGTGGGGATTTATGGTATAAGTCGGCTGCATATAGATGAAGTTTGGGCTTCTAGGTGACCCTCCTCCCCATGATAGTGGACCAGGTGCTCTTCATATCGTCATGTCCTCCACTCCCTCCTTCCTCCCCCCCTCTCCTGGTAGTGCCCAGAGACTGCCGATCCCACCCTTGTGTGTGACCAGTGACAGGGCCCGCTTATGAGTGAGGACAAGCCGTCTTCGGTGCTTTGTTTCTGGATAGTTCACTTAGTGTGATGGTCTCCAGCCACACCCAGGTTGATAAACTAAGAGGGAAGAAGCTTCTAGAAAAGGCACTTTGCAGGTGGCAGCCACGGCTCCAAGCCACTCCTTCCTGGGCAGGGCATGGGACACAATTGCACTGTGTCGGTGGCCTTAGCTGAACTCCACACCAGCAGGGAGTATCTGCCGCCCTCCCCATCTGTCTCCCAGAGAGAAAAGAAATACAAAGAAAAAGGCCATGCAGAAACGTTCATGCTAGTTGAATGGCTAGGAACTTGGTCCCCAAAGGAAGGGTTCTGGGGAAAGCGGTAGACATAGGACTCTTGAAACCAGTCTCAGTTTTCTCTTTCAGGAAGTGAGGATATTCTGTGTCCCAAAGCTTCTCTTTCACGCACAGTTACTCTGTGTGTGGGTCACATGGAAAGATGCCTGTGAAAGTTCCTTGAACAACAACAACAACAACAAAAAAAAAAAACAGGTCAGGCGTGATGGCTCATGCCTGGTAATCCCAGCACTTTGGGAGGCCATAGTGGGAGGATCACTTGAGGCCAGGAGTTTGAGATAGCCTGGACAACATAGCAAGACCCCATATTGACAAAACATTAGCTGTACGTGGTGGTGCCCAGCTATTCAGGAGGCTGAGATGGAAGGATCACCTGAACATAGAGGGTCAAAGGTGTGAGAAACTGTAATCATGTACTGCACTCCAGCCTGGGCAACAGAGTGAGACCTCAACTCAAAACACATACACACACACACACACACACACACACACACACGCAAAATATCTGAAACCTCATTTTCTTGTTTTTGCCAGCCATATGTCTAGAATAAAAATGCGCAAATTAATCTTTTGATGCCGATGTTAAGCCAACCTTTTCATACAAATTGAAAAATCAAATCTGAAAATGCCAAAGAAGTAATATATTTCTCAGAAGTCTGTGGTAAGAGATATGTAGGACAGCTAATTTTATTCATAACATCTTTAAGAAAAAGAAAATTTGTTCTTTTTAATGCTTGGCACTTTCTATAACCATGGATTTGATCTTTTAAATTTATTTTCCAATGTAGAAACCCTCCACCGCTGGCATCAGTGACCTAAACGTATACAGTTTCTCTAAAGAAATCACATGACATATATTTACTGATCAGAGTTTTACCCCAATGGAAAAATGCGCAAGGAAGCTCATTACTTAAATTTTCGGAGATAGGGAAATTGTTGGGTTTATTTTTTTTCTCCCCAGAATGACCTTTGTGGACTAGTTTTCCAAAAAGAATTTGCATTTCTTTCCAAACACAGATGAGGCCCTGACTAACCCTCAATTTCAGCTGTGTAAACATTGAACTTTCAAACGTCTTGGAAAGAAAAGGAGAACAAAACTTTTAACAACCAATGTAAAACTTGGATAATCACAATTATATTATTGATTATTTCCCTTATGAAATAACCTGCGAGTGTTCTTTCTACAAGAGACAAAATTGTATTTCTTAGTTTCTATGACATGAGTGTAGCAAACATTGTGGAAAACAAGTATTTACTAAATATGTTTGTGTGTGTATAGATGTGTGTATCAAATATAAGATTATATATATATAAAACTATATATTAAAATTTTTTTAATGTAGAATTTAAATTATAGACACATATGAGGGGGACCCCAAAAAACTTGGAATTTATTTATAAAAAATTGTGTATTTATTCTTACATGTTTAAGCTTTAGTCACCTTTAAAGAACTCTCCATCTGATGCAATATACCTATTTAGATGCTTTGCCACTGCTCAAAACAGTTTTTGAACTCGCCAAATTTGATGCCTTTTACTGCTTCTGCTGTTTTTTGTTTTACCCCTTCAATACCGGCAAAATGTTTCCCTGTAGGAACTTTTTTTCATCTGCAGAAACAAACAAAACAAAGCCGTGGTGTGGACAGATGCACTTGTAAATTACCCATCGTGAAATGGGCAAATGCATTGAAAGAATAAAAAAAAAAATTAACTGAAGCTGAATGCAGCCTCTCACAACAATGCTAGCCAATACACGGATGCCAGTGGGTTCCTAGGACACTTACCTAGCAGGGGAAGCCTGGACTGCAAGGGGCCCACTCTCTGAAAGATCATTCCGGTTTTCTTTGGGTCCCCTTTGTATATGTATAATTTTTGACATGTTGTACGCAGAGAGGTCTGTACTTTCGGATTACCTGTGAACATTCCATCTTCATGGAGACTTGGAGACCCTAGGACATAGTATTCCATTTTGTAATATACAATGAAAAATATTGTGAGCCCTCTTTCAGCACAAATTGTAAAGCAAACCTGACTTGCAAGACTGTGCTTTGCTTTTTGGATTTGTATTTCTAACTTCATTCGTTCATAGCTGGCTTCATTTTTGGCTGGCTGAGTCAAGTAATTGAGCAGAATTGCTAATCATGTCGGCTGATACTTTATTCACAATGCCGGGGGAGAGTTGATAAAATTTTCTGCAAGGTTCATGATGGAGTTAATAACAATTTAAGATACATACTCTTAGTTTTCCCAAATCATCCCGTCTAAAAACTTGGAACCCTTCTGACGCTAGCCCCCTCTGTTAGAGTAGCGAAGTAAATTTTTATCCTTTGCACACTTGGAGCGAGCTGGACCAGATGAGGGAGGGGGCAGGTTTTGCCCAGTTTCACACACGAGGAAATAACTTAAGGCGGCTCCATCAACTGCTGCACAGAAATCAGCATTTGGGTGTTTTCCTGGATACTTGTTCTAGGTTTGAATTTGTCATCAGCTCTCAACACTGATTTACAGTTTATTACAGTTCAAGCCAAAAACTGTCAGAGACAAAATAGTCCGAGAGTTGGCCAGAATCAAGAGTGTGAGGGACTTTGTATGTTCTCATTGTTCTGAGAGTCGTGTATACCTCGAAGGTGTGTTTGCTGCCTGACTTGTTTTGAATGCCATAAGAGGAAAAAAGTGTGGGAGCTTCTTTGATAGAATTGTATGAACTTATATTTTTAAAACACTTTTGCTGTTTGATGTAGGAATCAAATTTCCACAGTTAGCTAGGCCCTGCCAAAATAAACATAGGGAATTTATTGTAAAAATAACTCATTAAATTTTTCCTAATAATATTATTATCAAATAACTTGACAAAAAAGTAAGTAGATACTGACATTAAAGTCTTGTCCTCATTGGTAAATATCTTCCCTTTGACCCTACGGTTTTTTGGGGTTGAAGACTCTGGAAACGGTAGAGTGCTCATGAAGTCATTTCATTAGAAGTTATCTAAGTAGATGGGGACACAATATCAATAAGCATGCTTGATTTCAAACCAGGCAAAGTGGGGACCAAAGGGAGGCCCAAACTTTACCTCTATGATGATCACTTGCATAACTAATCCTGAATCATATCCCACGTCTTTAAAATGAAGAATAAGAAAATAAAAAGAAACAAAGGGGAAAAAAAGTTATCTAAGAATTAGGTTGACAGTCATCATTTTCTTATTTGTTACAGCATAAAATAAGAATAGGATCATAGGCAGTGATTTGAACTCGAGAACCATGTTAGAGAAGGGTTGTACTACCCTCCAAGGCTAGTCACAAAATATTGATTGTTTTGTAAAAGCACAGACTTGTTCAAAGACTTCAAACCTGATAGAATTCAGTCATCTTTATTATTATCTCAAAGTGCATGAATTTTGTTGTTATCATTTGTCTTCTCTCACCTTGTTTGTGTTTATCCCAGAGGGGTTAAACTGACTCTGTTAGACTCTGTTTACCTCTAGGTCATACTTAAGCTGGGACTAGAACCCAGACTTGAAATCCTACCCTGAAGCTTGGCTGGCTCTCATTATTTCATTCAGAGTCACATGCTTGCAACAATGGAAGTAGTTAGATTTTTCAGTGATGAAAGGCGATTTTATAAGACCCGGGTTCCTGCCGTGTTTTCCTAATTGTCTTCTGCTGCTGGGTAGTGTTCAGGAGAGGTTGGGAGCATGGCTGATTCCAATAACCACCTAAGAGTTAAATATTATGTGTGGCCCCAGATCCCTGGTCAAGTGTTGGGGAACATTTTTATTGATTTAAGTAGGTGTTACAGCTCAGTAAAGAATGGCCCTGTTTGGCAAGCAAAGCAGATATGGAAACTCCACTCACAGCCAAATTTACAAGAATAAAATAATTGGTTAACGTAAAAGGAAATGGTTTTGACAGATTTACACTCTTGGGGGATATTAGAATTCCACCAGGATTCAAGTGCATTTTTATCTCCAAGTGGAAGAATCCAACCCTGAAAGTGGAAAGCCATCTTCTGGAAAGAAAATGCCATGGACACCTTGGGTCACTCCCCCGTTGTGTTCTCCACTCCGTGGTGTTCTAGGTAATGTGATGTGCCCTATTAACAGTCCTTTGACTTTCTCTACTCTGTTTAAATGTAGATTCAGATCAACCCAGAGAAGAAAAGAAAGAATGCTACTATAATCTCAATGATGCCAGTCTCTGTGACAACGTGCTGGCCCCCAACGTGACCAAGCAGGAGTGTTGCTGTACTTCCGGTGCTGGGTGGGGGGATAACTGCGAGATCTTCCCATGCCCGGTCTTGGGCACTGGTAAGCCTTGGCTCAGCAGGGCCGATACATTAGGGTTGGGTTGGGCCTTGATGCCATGACCTTCACCGCCACCATCATCTGGAGGTGAGATGACCTTCCAGTGAGTTTCATTCAGGAAGCTGTCACCCTCTTTCCTCCTCATACAAACCCTTAAACTCCCCTCTGTCTCAGAATATACTATCAGCTAGGTTCGGTATGCTATCTGGCAGAAAGATCATTTAGTTTTATTCCATTTTTAAATTAAAGTCAGTCTTTGCTAACAACGACACGGTATTATCCATAACGAGAGCTTGTGTATTTAGCTAAGATTATGCTCAAATGGGGTCTTACTAAGTCTTTCATATACTAGACACCACAGAAGTAGAGAAATAATAGTCACAATATCAAGTAAAACATGGATAAAGAAAACATGGGTGGAGCAGGAGGGCTTTTAAAAACAGTTAATGTTTATTATGAAGGCATTTGATCTATTTGTATTTCATCCATATTTGTTGGTGATTTCACTGAATTTGCTGGAATTGCCTTACAGTTATTGAGGCTGAGAAAGCAAAATTAAATTTAAAACATGCATTCATGGAAGATGTTGATTATTTTTTCCTTTTTTTGACTATTTCTTTTCTTGGTTTTGTCTCTTCTGAAATCAGCGGAGTTCACTAAAATGTGTCCTAGAGGAAAAGGCTTTGTACCCACCGGAGAATCCTCCTACGACATTGCTGGCGAGAACTATAAAGGTCAGAATCCCACCGGGACGACTTATAGCACGTGTACATGCCAGACAGTCAAGTGAAACATGGCTTGGGTTACACAAAATTGAAGCTCTTTTGAGTCGTGGAAACTGATTACACAGCCCTTAATCCCTTATTGGAAGAAGATCCCTGTGGGCTCTCAGAGCCAGAACACTTAAGCTGTGTGATGCTGGGAGGTCACTTAACTTGAGTTTCCTCTGAGACAGGAATGATGTCTCAAAAGGCTAGAATGAGGATTAAATGAGATAATATGCGTGGAACCACTTAACACAAAATTCCACACTTAGTAGATGCTTCCTACATCTATTCTCTTATTCTAGAGACATCCTTGAAATCACATAAATTATGATCCTAAAGATTAGACCATAATCATATTTGTCTTTATGGTCACCTACAAAGCTAAGGTTCTTATTTTTTTAGAACTTACCCAACTACTGCTAGGACCTTTGGCTAATGGCCACAGATTTAAAATGAGGAATGGAAGAGAAGAAAACAAAAGTGGACATGTTTTATATATTTAATGCCACCATTATATGAGTCTCAAATAAATGTGCAGCCTTTTAGTTTTGGTGAATATCCACAAGTATGAATATTTCATCAGTAACTATTCACTTTTGACATTTTCATGATAGAGATATTACCTTTTATATACAAAGTGATTTTTTTCTTTATAGTTTAATATTGAAAACTGCTAAGTAGCTGGAAAACAGACTATAAAAACATTTTTATTGTCCATTTTTGGAGAAGTAGTATTTGAATAGTATGGTATAATTCAGTAGCTGGATAAGAAATTCCATTTGTGTTTTTTTAATACAGCTATGACTTAGCCCAATTAAATAGCAAGAAGACTTGGTTTGTAATATGTATTGGATGGTTTCCAAATTCACAAATATCACATACAGTACTCTATTTTTGCAGGGAGGTAGTTAAATCTCACTTCATATTATGGAACAGAGACCCGATTTCACCGTAAAGTCATCCTTTCTTTTATAGAAAAATAAACTCCTCCTTATCCTATTTTAGCAGTGCTGAACATAGTTGGAAGAAAATGGGGTTCAAATCCAACCAGCCATATGTTCTAGGCTTACTTTTGCCATTTTCCATCTGTGTAACTTTGAGCTGGTCAAATATGGCGTCTTCAGTTTTTAAAATAAGGACTAGATGACATTAGCTCCAGAATGCCAGAGCAGATGCTAATCATCACAGTAAAAGCAAGAGATAGCCGGGCTCAGTGGCTCAGCCTGTAATCCCATACTTTGGGAGGCTGAGGTGAGTGGATTGCCTGAGCCCGCGGGTTCAAGACCCTCCCGGGCAACTTGGCGAGACCTCATCTCTACAGTAAATCAAAAAATTAGCCAGGCATAATGGCGTGCGCCTGTAGTTCCAGCTACTTGGAAGGCTGAGGCGGAAGGATCACCTGAGCCCAGCAGGTCGAGGCTGCGGTGGCCGGGAGTGGCCACTGCACTACAGTCTGGTGACAGAGTGAGACTCCAACTCAAAAAAAAAAAAAAAAGCAAGAGATAATAATACCTTTGGGCATATTTGTGCTAGAGTGAATGTAAGTCCTGCACATAAGTTGTCTCGTGCAATCCTGCAGACCCTATTAGGTCGGTGTTCCTGTTATCCCCAGTAAACTGAGATGGCAGGAGCTCTGAATTCTGTGGCAACAGTTCTGCCAACTCCCTCAGTTCATGCTTCCCTTAGCTTATCTTCTTTTGACTTGTCATCCAGTTCCACCAAACTCTTCTTGGGAACCTTCTACATCTCAACCAATGAGAGGGCCAACATACACATTATGGAAGGGCACATTTCTCAAAAGGTCTATTCTTTAGAGAATATTCTCAGTGCCAGTATGGAACCCATAGATCATTTCATCAAAACTAAGGTCACATCTCAGAAACCATATTTACAAATATACCATTTCCGGTAACATTTTGGTCATTGCTCGTTAAATATCACAGACAAATCACATCTGAGTATGTTTTGCTGCATGTCAATCAGGTCTAACTTTAGGAATTTTTTGTTGCGGTGACTGCAAGATTCTTTAGAGTATAAATAACATATCGGCTGGGCTCAGCGGCTCAATCTGTCATCCCAGCACTTTGGGAGACCGAGCCGAGTGGATCGCCTGAGCCCATGGGTTCGAGACTAGCCCGGGCAACTTGGTGAGACCTCGTCTCTACAATAAATCAAAAAATTAGCCAGGCGTGGTAACACACGCCTGTAGTTCTGGTTACTTGGAAGGCTGAGGTGGAAGGATCGCCAGAGCCCAGCAGGTCGAGGCTGTGGTGGCCATGAGCTTGCCACTGCACTCCAACCTGGGTGACAGAGTGAGACTCCAACTCAAACTAAAAAACAACATACCTGGTTTGAAGCCCAATATTGTCTTGACTCTTCTCTTTCACTGGAATATCAAAGCCAGCTCCTTTTTGTATTTTTCAACCTTTTTCCCCCACAGATGCCGATGAATGCCTACTTTTTGGGCAAGAAATCTGCAAAAATGGTTTCTGTTTGAACACTCAGCCTGGTTATGAATGCTACTGTAAGCAAGGGACATACTATGATCCTGTCAAATTGCAGTGCTTTGGTAAGCTTGAAGAGGGTAGAGTACAGTGTGCTGGAGAAACTGACAGATGGGGGGGCAACCAGCAATGCTATGTAGTAAATATAATTTCCTTGAATCTAAATTATGGGTTGGAAAGATGTGTCCGTGTTTTGGAGATCTTTTCTTAGGCAAGATTTTAGAAAATCGAAAACCTCCTTACAGCTGTTTGAATGAGTTTCAACCCAAGAGTTAATATTCAATGTGGAATTATAATTCAGGCCACTGGTCTAACGGAAGCGTTCTTTGGTCTGTGGAACCTCCTGTCTCATCACTTATACTATGTGAGTGAAAGTCATTTTAAATACCGACCCAGACGTTAATGCTTAAGCAGAAAACCATATACACGTGGCAGAAAAACACAGCAAAAGGAAATCATTTTAAAAGTATCATAAAAAGGCATTTTATCTTAAATTTCTCAGCATATCCTGTCCATAGATGTTTTCTTTCTTTCTTGAATGTCAGCGGCAGTAACGTTTTTCCAATCAGTACAACTTACATTTTTATAGTCAGGGCCACTGCTTTCTTTTGGATGGTAATACGCAATTAGCTGCCCCTGAAATCTGAACTAAATTTAGCAACGTGTAGAGTTGGGTACGTGTAGGAGGCACAACCAATTGCTGGTTTTCTTTAATTATTATTTTTTTCTCTTAAGATATGGATGAATGTCAAGACCCCAACAGTTGTATTGACGGCCAGTGTATTAATACAGAAGGCTCTTATAACTGCTTCTGTACCCATCCCATGGTCCTGGATGCTTCTGAAAAGAGATGCATACGACCGGCTGAGTCCAATGGTATGTCTCCGTGTGAAATGCAAACCTGTGTCCAAATAAGTCTCGCAAGGTTTTCCTTTGGACTCAAATGTGAGCTACTGGAAATCAGAAAAATGAATGCCTTGGGTATTTTGAAATAATTAAAATGAGATACTCAGAGAAATTATAATAAGACGCATATCCTTGGTATGTAGGAGACTAAATTTCCTGAACATACTCATTAGGTAGACACTGGAGTATGAAGTGGCTGGGCAAATGGCAGAGCTGTGCTGTGCTGAGAACTTGTCATACCTGGCCTCCATAGGCAGAAGAGGAAGATACCATTCAGGGAGGGTGGTCAGATGTGGTCAGCTAGAGTGGAGGACACAGAGCTCAACAAAGCAGAAGGTGGTGTTTCACGAGGTGGTGGAACACCCCAAAGCCCACTGATAGAAATCCTGCCGGGCATAGTGACTCACACCTATAATCCCAGCACTTTGAGAGGCCAAGATGGGAGGATTGCTCGAGTCCAGGAGTTCGAGACCAACCTGGGCAGCAGAGTAAAACCTCGTCTCCACAAAAATAAAAAAAGTTAGTCAGGTGTGGTGGCACACGCCAGTAGTCCCAGGTACTTGGGAGGCTGAGGTGGGAGGATTGCCTGAACCCAGGAGTTTGAGGCTGCAGTGAGCCATGATCATGCCACTGCACTCCAACCTGGGTGACAGAGTGAGAACCCGACTCAAAAAATAAAAATAAAAAATCCTTGTTCATCCCTGACAAAGCAACAGGCCACTGATAATTGGCGTGATGGATCAGCTGTCATGTTCAGGAGAGCACTAGTGGATGAGGTCAGTTGAAAGGTGGAAGGTTGGAATAGAGGATTATGGGATGCAGTGTCCCCAGGGCAGGGCTTTTGCAGATGACGTGGGTGAGAAAGCATGAACCCAAGAGTTGTTATGTGGAAAAAGATGGTAGGACCCGACAGAGGAGTCAATGTGGGAAAGCAGTGATGGGCAGAGTGAGATGTGCACCAGCTGTAAGAGGGATAGGAGGGGGCATCTCACGTGTCAGCGGGAAGTGATGGCACAAAGCATCAAGTTGGAGCAGGATGGCAGGTGGAATTTCAGCTGAGGGACAGACACTCAGTTGGAGACGACAGAGATTTGATCTGTGGAAAGACCAGGCAGGATTCAGACTTTTCCTTGCAAGTCACTCTTAGAAACAGGGATGGAAACTGAGGCTCTTTGGCGACCCGTAGTGTTTATGAAATCAGAATAACACATGCAATGGTCTTGAAACGTTGTCTTCCCTTTCAGAACAAATAGAGGAAACCGATGTCTACCAGGATCTGTGCTGGGAACATCTGAGCGATGAGTACGTGTGTAGCCGGCCCCTTGTGGGCAAGCAGACCACCTACACTGAGTGCTGCTGCTTGTACGGAGAGGCCTGGGGCATGCAGTGTGCCCTCTGCCCCATGAAGGACTCAGGTGAGCCTGCCGCCCTCTGCCCAGCGAAGGATCCAGGTGACCCCATGTCCCCCACTCCCCGTGAAGGATTTGGGTGAGCCCATCACGCTCTGCCCTGTGAAGGATTCAGGTTAGCCCTCATCTCCCTCTGCCCCATGAGCAATCAGGTGAGCAGATGCCACAGGCAACCAAGCTTGAAATCAATGAGACATGAAATAGATGGGAAGTGAGCATAGAGGGGCTGGAGCCATTCTCCCGGTGCTCTGCTGTATCACATCTTTTTCACATGCGCAGTGGTTTTTGGATGGCTTAATTTAAAAATGATATGTATGTCTGCTAAAGAATTGAAGGCCAGGCTCGGTGGCTCAGCCTATAATCCCAGCGCTTGGGAAGGCTGAGGCGAGTGGATTGCCTGAGCCCATGGGTTCAAGAACAACCCGGGCAACTTGGCAAGACCTCGTCTCTACAATACATCAAAAATTAGCCAGGTGTGGTAGCATGCACCTTTAGTTCTGCCTACTTGGAAGGCTGAAGCAGAAGGATTACCGGAGCCCAGAAGGTCGACCCTGGGGTGGCTGTGAGCATGCCACTGTACTCCAGCCTGGGCAACCGAGTGAGACTTCAACTCAAAAAGAATTTAAATAATTAAAGAGGTTGTGTCTCCCTCCTGCCACCCCGTGGCAGTGGACCTTTGTGCCTTAAGGGTGCTCATGCTGGACAGTTGTGTGTTTATCATCCTAGTCTTTCTTCTGTATGTTAATTGTTGTCATACATTTATATGAGGGATTGCTATAAATATTTATATTTAACAACGTACTTAACCCCGGAGTCCTGTCACACACTTTTATACCACCATAGACTTCTGCATTTCCTTTAGTGTGCTTCCTGCCTGCAAAGTTGGAACCAAATAATGTATGGTTTCTGTAGCTAACACCTTTGTTTTCCTGTATAGGAAAAGGCCTCTTTTATGGCATATGCTATCTTACTGAGGAGATAACTTTTTTCCAATTGCCAACTAATTTTCTATTCATTATCATAAAATAACTTGTTCTGAAAAAAACCAAAAAACTGGAATCCATATCATCAGTCTAAGCCATGCTTTGCTGTTTGCACTTTAGCATCTGAGTCTGGGGTCCTCTGATAATCATGACATCTGACAATGGCTACAAGGTACTATTTCACCCTTTTTTCTTTTTCTTCTTTTTGAGTAGGAGTCTCTGTTGCCCAGGCTGGAGCGCGGTGGCAAGCTCATGGCCACCTCAGCCTCCACCTGCTGGGCTCAGGCGATCCTTCCACCCCAGCCTTCAAGTAGCTGGAACTACAGACGCATACCACCAGGCCCAGCTAAATTTTGTGGTTTGTTGTAGAAACAAGGTCTCACCAAGTTGCCCAGGCTAATCTCAAACCCCCAGGCTCAGGCAATCCTCTCCCCTTGGCCTCCCAAAGTGCTGGGATGACAGGCTGAGCCACCATACCCAGACTGTTTCGCCTTTTAACAGCTGTCCTATCAGGATGCATTTTACGATCTGTGGTCTCTTAGAATTGATGAAAGGTGGTAACTTTTGAATGGCTGCACAGAATGGTTTTATAGGTGCACCATGATGTCTTCGATTCTCTCTAGGGCTGAGCCCTTGGGTTGATTGTCACCCAGCCTTTCCCTGCCCTAATCCTGATTCTACTATTACAAATGATGCTGCTGTGAATCTCTATGTGTGCACTTGCAGGAGGCCTCATTGCCTGAGCCCAGGGGTTCAAGACCAGCCTGGGAAGCATGGCGAGACCTCATCTCTACAATAAAATTAAAAAATTAGCTAAGCATGGTGGCGCATGCCTGTAGTCCCAGGTACTTGGAGGACTGAGGCAGAAGGATCACCTGAGCCCAGCAGGTTGAGGCTGAGGTAGCCATGATTCTGCCACTACGCTCCAGCCTGGGGGACAGAGTGGGAGACTCTGAAGCAAAAAAAAAAACCCCAAAAAACAACAACAACAACAAAAACTGGGTAAAGAAGTATGCATACTTTAAATTTACTATCTTATTCCCCAAAATTATTGTAAAATTTTACACTCACTTTAATTTACTCAATTTAAAACAATCCAAATACTTTGCTAGGAGAAATGAATTTTAGGACACTATATCAAGATTCTAAAATACAGATTTTAGAGTATTGCATCGACTATTTTCAACTGAGGTTTTAGAAAACACGCTTTTAAATATAAGTTGGAACAGATATATGTAAAGAAATATATACTATATAATACTTTTCAGAGAGGACAGGATATGGGGGAAACTCATGATACCACATGCCAAATTTAAAAAAAAAAAAAAAGGTTAGTATCATTGCTACACTATTTCTAATTGGTCTATGCACAGCAATTATAATACATTCTCCAGAAAGAAACTCCAGTGTACGTGGTCAGTCAGATCCTCAAAATGAGTGATTTCCAATCTTTTTATTTTTTGAACCATGATAGTTTTGTCCACTGAATTACTATTTTGCCTCTGGGATATAAATCCATTTGCATCCAAGATGCTAGGGACTGGCTGGAGGGAACCATTGCTCCTGAGTTTTGGGGTGGTCTGTGAGGACTCAGGATTTCTGAGATCACACGTTGAAAACTGCTGCTCCAAGTGTATCAGTTGGGGAATAGAAATTCACAAGGCAGCTCGGAGGGAGTATTTCTTTCTTTCTTTCTTTCTTTTTTTTTTTTTGAGTTGGAGTCTCTCTCTGTCACCCAGACTGGAGTGCAGCAGGCATGCTCCCAGCCACCGCAGCCTCGACCTGCTAGATTCCAGTGATCCTTCCACCTCAGCCTTCCGAATGGCCGGAATTACAGGCATGTGCTACCACGCCCGGCTGATTTTTTAATTTATTGTAGAGATGAGGTCTCACTGCCTAGGCGGGTCTCGAACCCGCGGGCTCAGGCAATCCACTCACCTCAGCCTCCCAAAGGCGTGGGAGTACAGGCTGTGCCACTGAGCCCGGCGGGAATATTTCCTTGATACCACCAAAATTACAGCCCTAGAGTCAGGGGATCATCTGTCGTGAATCCAAAGAGAAGTACACAGTGAAGTTCCCATTTTTCCAGAGTTCCTGCGACTGGTTGGCATGCCCTTAACTAGCACCTGATCTGCTAGTTGTGCCTACTCTCACCCCTCTCTGTTGGAGTGGAGTTACTAAAGGTTGCCTGACTTTGAGTCCCGGCGTGGCAATTTGTTATCTGCATGAGCTTGTTATTTTGTCTCTCCATGCCTTGGTTTCCTTGTGAAAATGTCACCTGTCTCTTAGGGTGGTGGTGAGGGTTTAATAAGTTAATACGTGAACACTTAACAGCGTGCTCGACACCTGATAAGCTGTCAGAAGATGCTAGCAACTACTGCTGCTCCCAGCAGGTGTCTCAGATCAGATGCGTTCTCAGATGTAATTAAAATCCAAAGGATCTTGTATGATATACAACCACCTAACAACATCTGAACACAAATTAAGGACAGACGAATATAGGAACCATTGTCCTAAATGTAAAACTTTCTGTCCCAGACCACTGCTTTGTAAACATTATGAGCATGTCAGTGACTGGGGGAACCTTATGCAAAAACGATTCTGCTCCTTAGGTTGTAGAAGATGGGGTGGAGGATTGCCAGGATTTGCATTTCTCATAAACCCCAAGGCAATCTGTTGCAAGGGTCTAGAGACTTCTAATAGCATCCAACTCTATTTTGTTAAACCCTGTTTAACGCTGGCAGTTATTCCTTTTGCATCAAGGAAGCTAAGGATGTGTGAATTTTAACACAGGTCTGTCATCATTTCTGCCACGAAAGCTTTTAAATAGACCTTTTCTCGATGTGTGCATTATTGAGCAAGAAAGACCACATCGTCTGTTCATCTGAGCTCTGAACGAACCCCAGCTGGTCAGACACCAAGCCTCCCAATGTCCCCAGGAGGGTGGCACTGCTCTGGGGAGCAGTTAGTTACTGACAGAAACAGGGCTGGAGGAACTGGAGGTATAAATCACACCACTTGTCACCGGCTTTGAGCATTAAAGTGCAGTGTAAAGTAAAGCTTTGGCCCTGGAGCCAGCCTTCACACGTCCGGTCCAGGTCATGGGCACTAACTCTTGGATGGTGGCAGCTGCGTCCGAGCATTCTGGTGGGTGGAGGAGGTGGAAGTGGCTGCGGGGATGGTGTTCTCTGGAGTGAGGTGGCATCTTGCAGGATGGGTAGGCACCACCTGCAGGGAAACGGCGGTGGGTCGTGTCAGGGTAGCTTCACAGGAGAATTGCCTCACTGTAGAATTCATACACTTCTGGGGCTGCTCAGGGTCCTATTTCAATCCTCAGCTAAAGTCTCAGAGGCCAGATGGCAGGCTACATTGGGAGAACGTTCTAGATGATTGGCGGCAGCGCTGTGGGTGTGTCAGTGATAGCTTGCCCAAGTGGTTGTGGACAGTCAGCTTCTCTATCTGGGCCTTTGGAGGCCTCCTTTTCCTCATCTACCCTCCGATCCTGCGCATTCTCTTTTTTTGAGTTGGAGTCTCACTCCATCGCCCAGGTTGGAGTACAGTGGCATGCTTCCGGCCACCACAGCCTCGACCTGCTAGGCTCCAGCGATCCTTTCACCTCAGCCTTCCAAGTAGCCAGAACTAAGGGGTGCGCTACCATGCCCAGCTAATTTTTTGATTTATTGTAGAGACAAGGTCTCACCAAGTTGCCTGGGCCGGTCTCGAACACGTGGGCTCAGGCAGTCCACTCGCCTCGGCCTCCCAAAGTGCTGGGATGACAGGTTGAGCCACCGAGCCCAGCCCCTGCCCACTCTTAAAATGTTTTGATGGATCCTCCAATTTGAGCTCTTTCTCGAGGTATCATGCCAGCCTCTGAGAGACGAAGCTGTTTGGAAAAATTGGGTCAGGAAAATGAACCCCTCATCCATATCACAAGTGGGGAGAGGCTGGTCATTGGTCTTTCTGGGAGTTTTTAGTGCCATGCTATGAGGAAATCATAGAGTTATCAGAACTGTGAGATCTTTA